GAATCAGGAGAAATAAAATCAATCGCATAACTAAACCTTAAATGATACCTTGGGACAAAACATTTCATGACCCTTTGGCATACAGGAATGCCTTAGTAAACTTCATTTTGGTATAGTTATTAGAACAATTTTGTTTGTTTCATCTAATTTGATGCCTAATGTAATATTCAAGTCTAACATAAAGACAAAATAAAACTTTTAATATAACTTTGACACAAACTGAATTTACAGAATCAAATAACTAGTCAGTATTTTCAGACTATAACCCTTTTCCAAGTCTCTGTCTCTGAGATCAAAAAAACTTTCCTCCAAATCCTGCACAGTTCAATTTGTGAGAATTTTCTGCTTTTATTCTTTTAGTTTTCTTTAACTAAAGTAAGCTTTCTCTTAAGGCTTATACTTTTCTCCTCTCCAAGAAGTACAGGCTGAGCTATTATGAATGCCTTTCTCAGACCATACAAATTAACTTCTATGAAATCAGTTTATTCACACAGAGGAAAGACAATAATTTATCATTAACTATAAAACAAAGAACACACATGCAGCTGGAAAGGTAGTTACTGACTACCTTCTCAAGGTGACATTACCTAGGTAAACAAAGGTGAAAATGAAACACACAAGGGTGTAACAATTTTAAGGACTCTTCAAAAATAAATTCTGAACATAGTCTAGCCCCTCCACAATTTAACCACAAATAAGGAAGTAGGTACTTTTTGCACTACTCAAATTTTACACTGAAGGTACCTATATTTAAGCATAATTAAAGCCAACAAACTGTTTTCAAGTATTCTAATGCTGCATACACCAATCAAGTTATTAACCACAATATTAAACTCTAACACCTTCACAATGTTGTGTATTTAAGTATTGCTCACAAAGCACACATATTCTAGTCCTTTTCATAATGTTTTTGTTCCTGCAGTAAAACATTTCAAAGGCAATGGCTTAACTGAGGAAAGTGACCTACTCTTTTAGATTTTTAATACATTTTGAAGTGCTCAGATTAAGAAATCAGTTAGTATCTTAAAACTTTTTTCCCTTACCTGTCAAAAGCTTTGTGAAAGTGATTCAACCTCTCAACTGAAACTTCACTCAGAAAAAGACAGGAGTGATGAAAAACTGGAAACATCATCTAAGTACTATAACCTCATTCGCTTATTTCAAGATGCCAATATAAAAACAGTATCCAGCAAAAAAAAATCTGTCAGTTTGATAAATAGGGTATATTCAATCTAGATTGCAATCATGTTACAATTATACATAACATGGCTTATTTGTAATCATTCTTACTTGCAGTTTGGAGGTCATAAGACAATGTAGCTACACTCCAACTTTGGCCGATTAATTTAGAAAAACCAAAAACTTAGGTCAATTGAATACAATATAACTGAAATACTATTTATAATTAATAGATGCAATTCTTAATATGGCTCACCAACTGGTTCAAAAGGCCACAAGCAGGAATTTCACACCTGCAAGAGAACACATGTGATAATCCTCATAAAATAATATTATGAATATTCATATGATTTGGGAATTGATTCAAGTTAAAAGCCAAACATAAGTTTGACTTTGCTGTTACCCTAAAATGATTTTTATGTTGCTTTATCCTAACATGAAAGCACTATAATTGATCAGAACTTTAATAAAATTTACTATAATAAAAATTTTAAAAATAACCTACAAATATCTTTCACTTATGAACTTCATGTATCTCTGAAAGGCCAAGGGTACAAAACATGTAAATATAAATAAAGCAAAAAAATTATATAGAGTAATATCCTGTACTTAAAATTAATTATAAAAATATAGATAACACCACATATGTAAAAATATACACATACAATTATATGTGCTTCCACACAAAAAGTGAATTTTAAAAGGCCTAAAAATGTGAGGGGGAAGTGAAATGAAACATATCTTCCTATAATGTTTTATACTTTATAGAGAATGCAATCATGTGTTAATTGTGTAATTAATAATTTAGGAAAAAAGTTTATTAATAAAATCTTACTTTTCCATACAGTTACTTTATAATCTTATAGATCTTTCCACTAAAAAGAAAATTCTGGCCCAATAATATAATCATACTTAAGAATATATCAACTCCTTTCTGAATATCTGCTTTAAAAAATTATTATCCTATGAGATACTACTCCTCCTCTAATCTCTCAGTAAAACTTAACTATTATGCCAATCAAAAAGCAAGTAAGGAATCCTTAGAAAGCCCAGCAGAATGTACTTTTGTTTTGTACTTTTAGCACTGCCTCACTTTTTCAGGTACTTTTACACTGGAATTACTAAGCAACCTTCATTTTCTATAGCCTGAATAGCATAAAGCCCTGCCCTAAAACATGAAAGATGTGTTCTGAGGAGCCTGGGTGGCTCGGCCCATTAAGCATCTGCCTTCAGCTCAGGTCATGATCCCAGAGTTCTAGGATCAAATTCTGCGCTGGGCTCCCTGCCTAGTAGGGAATATGCTTCTCCCTCTCCCTCTGCTCCTCCCAGCACCCTCCCTCTCCCTGCTCCTGCTCTCTCTCTCTCAAATAAATAAATTAAATATTTTTTTAAAAAAAGAAAATAAAGACGTGCCCTAACATTCCTCACGTCTTTACTGGTAATAATTTCACTTTTTATTTCTGACTCTGAACATATAGCATTCATTCACAAGGAGTAAATGGTAAAGGATCTCAAATATATTTTTATATTCATTAATATTTTACAGATTAGAAGTCAGGGCTGTGGAAACAACAGAGACACAAAGTTATAAATTTGCTGTTACTAATAAAAGAAAATCATGCCCACTTTGAAAATGACAACTGCAGGAAAAAGGGGAGCGAAGTCACACAAATGAGGATGAGAGAACATACACAGAAATAGGGAAAGAAAAAGCAGACAGGGAGACGCAGAAATAGGTTCCATCCAAAGGGAGATACATATTTTGAGGGTGGAGAAGGATCAGAAGAAAAAAGACTTCACTATCTACCAGACCTCCCAGCAAACAAACAATCATGGAAAAGGCACCAAAATACACACTAGCACCTCCACATTGCTGGAACATTCAAAAACTAAAAGTAGCAGGTAGGAGATAACATCATTTGTAAAAGGCCAGACAAAGGACTACAGAGGAGAGCAACTGCATTTAAACTCCACTCTCTCTTCCCACATAAAAATAAGAGTTGTTTTTTCCCTGAGCACTCATCAAATTTTCACACAATATATATGAAAAAGAAAGAATGTGACGTCTTAACTTTCCAAAATGAAAACTAATTAAACGTATACAGCATATAAGTAAACAGAAAATTATCCAACCAGTAATTTAGAGACCTATGGCAGAATGTTAGTTTACATAAAGATATAAAAGTATGCACATGCATATTTAACATAAACTATCATAAAGTCAAGAATACAAACCTTCAATAGCAAGACCACTGTTTTGCCTCTAGAGGGCGAACTTGGTCTTCTGAAAAACTCTAGACAAGAGAAGTTACTTTCAGACTTTATAAAAAAGTTAAAATTTAAGATGTTGAGATAGCAAAAATTCCTAGTTTCTTGGTTAACAGTACCCTTAGTGTACCAATAATTTTTTCACAACTTCCCCTAAACCAACAGAAATGCCTAAATATTCTGTTTAATAAATAGTTATGTCCAACAATTTAATAAGGATTTCTGTCCTAACACTTAGTAGTCATTTGAAAAAATAATACATATAAATTGAAGGGAAAAAGGTTTTCATTCTTAAATAACCACAATTACTTATTAGGCATGTATGCTTGGGGTACACTCTAATTTTACAAATCTTGAAATGAGACTGGACACGATCACGCTCATTTCCTGTTGAACATTGATCTTTGCATAATAGTATCTGATTTTCATCACAGCAATCTCAGAAAACCAGATTCACAAAGATATGATGCCAGGAAAAAAAATATAATGCCATTTAATGTTGAAATTGTGTATAATCTGAAGATAATGGTCTGTGCTGTATCCCAACACACGTAGAATATCAATGAGTCTGCCACTGTTCCCCTCTGCATTAGCTGCAGCACATGGGGTTCACAGGCTGCAAAACACAACACTACAGTTCTAAGTCCCAGCACCTTTATAAACTAGTCAATATTTTAATTGTAAATAAAATTAACTACAACAAATGTTTTTAAAGATCTAAAAATTTTCTTGTATTACTTGGGAAACCAGTTTCTCTTTAAGCAATAAAAGAGGCACTATTAAATCCTTAATGGAAGATTGGAAGATATTTTATCCAATTTGAATGATGATTATTGTCTTAATGTGATTATTTTTATACATGATGGTTGTGTTGAATCTGAAAAACTCCGAATGGGAAGGAGAGAAACAGGAAATGCAGTACATACATATCTCCTGAGCAACAACTTCTCAGAACTTAAAAATGCCTGTAAATTGATCCAGTCTCACTGATATCCTAGTACTAATGGAGTCAAGTTTTAAGAGCCAAATATCTAAAATTCTTAAGAGCTTCAGAATATGGATATTAATATAGATATTAGAAGAACTGGCTCCAAAATTACTAGAAACAGATTCTATACCCACTCATCTCACAAAGTCCTTGGTTTAGGCAGACCACTAGAAAAGTGATCAAAAACAGAGTTCAACCTCAAAATTTACTGTTTTTGCTTTCTGTTTCATCAGTTGACAATTCTGCACCACTGGCAACCATATGCCACTAGAAATCAAAGTATGTGGTAAGAGTGCTTAGCTAAGAAGAATGAAACAAAAAAGCCAAAAAGCTCTGCAAGGAAAACTAGGGTGAAAAAAACCAATGTTCTATCACTTTAGAGAATTTTCACAACCATAAAAGATAACTGAAAATATGTGCATTAAAAAAAATTACATTACTACAAATATCTAATAATCCCCCAATTTTTTATGTAGAAAAAGTATGAATGAAAGTAGAATATGATTAAGTTATCAAAAAATATTTGAAACACTAAGAGAAACCACATGGCTATATTAGTACTTACCTGTTGAATGATTTTGGAAGTTTTCTGAAGATTCTCTCTGGGAGGGACTTTACCAAATAATTTCCAACCAGGAGCACTATGGACAACTGATTTGAGTTCCTTTGTCCTTTTTGGAAAAAGGTTTCTGAAACACAAAAAAGTTACATGAATTGTGTTTCTGATAACCAGAGGACTACTTAATAATTTTTTTTAAAGATTTATTTATTTATTTATGATAGACATAGAGAGAGAGAGGGGCAGAGACACAGGAGGAGGGAGAAGCAGGCTCCATGCCGGGAGCCCAATGTGGGACTTGATCCTGGGACTCCAGGATCGCGCCCTGGGCCAAAGGCAGGCGCTAAACCGCTGAGTCACCCAGGGATCCCCTACTTAATAATTTTTAAAGTATGTTTGTACTCAAGATAAATACAAAATACTTTTAAATTCTTTTTTTAAGATTGTTTTTTATTAAGTAATCTCTACATGCAACATAGGTCTGTAACTCGCAACCTCAAGATCAAGAATTGCATGCTCCACCAAGTGAGCCAGGTACCCCTAAATAAAATTATTTCTATTACTTATACAACTGACTATTAGACTGACGAGACTCAGGGTGCCAGGGAGGCTCAGTGGGTTATGTGGCTGCCTTCAGCTCAGGTCATGATCCCAGCGTCCTGGGGATGGAGCCCCACATCAGGCTCCCTGCTCAGTAGGGAGCCTGCTTCTCCTTCTCCTTCCCCTTCCTTCTTCTTGTGCTCTCTCTCAAATAAGTAAATAAAATATTACCAAAAAATGTGGGATAATCCATAATAGATTAAAAAGACACTCTCATTTCCTTGGGTGTGCAATGGAATTGAACTGATGTAATTTCTACTTAGGAGGCCCTAGAAGTTTCATCTCAGGGATTATATAAATAGTAACTCAATTTTCTACTTAATAAGATCTCTAGATTGGAGGTTTTTAATAATGATTACACTAAGGACTGATATTTTTATAACATAAAATTTCAACCCTCAAAGGATGGTCTATTAATTTAAATAATATTTGATATCATGTGCGTAATAACAATTTCTATGAGCATTTCTCCTTCAAAATGAACATAAAACTGTTAAATTTTCTTAATAGAGGGCAATGAAGAGACACTATAGGATAAAGAGCTTTCCTGAGATTTCTAGCTGCTGCAAGGTGGGTCAGTGGCACGGGTGTGAGGACATCCAGTAGAAATTTAATCAGTCAAGTGCCCGGGACATGCAGTCCTTAGGCAAACTTGCAGCATAAGCAAACTCGGCCTGGAGATGGCTTTTCTGCAGCCCTCTTGATATGGAAACTATCACCCCAAAAGCTTCTTGCTGGCAGTGATATACTTGTTCCCTTGGTAAGCCCCACACAGCTCACTTGTACTCCCTGGGCAGCTCTTACCAAGCCATGCTATGCTGCCCCTACCAGGCTCTCTGTGGCCTGCCTATACTCCAAAGGTCTGCCATCCAGCCATGCTAAACACAGGAGTCACCATGGTTTATGCAAAAAAATTTGAATATGACATCAAAGTCATGATAAAATATTTTAAAAATTTTTAAGATTTTGTTATTTGAGAGGGAATGTGCATGCTGCATGCACATAAGCAGGAGGAGGGGCAAAGGGAGAAGCAGACTTCATGCTCAGCAAGGAGCTTGATGTGGGGCTGGATTCTAGGACCCCAGGTTCATGGCCTGAGCCAAAGGCAGATGCTTAACCATCTGAGCCACCCAGGCACCACTAAAATAAAAAATTGGTAAACTGGCCTTAATCAAATTTAAAACAAATTTAAATCAAATTTGCAGTTCAAAAGCATCACTGATGCAAAATGGAGAACAGGAAGATCTAGAGCTCAGTTCCTCCCCCAAAGTAAAAACTGAGCTGTAAAGAGCAATTGTAATGAACCATTTTAGAACTCTAGAACCTTATCAAACTCTTGTAACAAACAGGGAAGTACATGAAGGAAGAGGATGTTGATCCTTCCTAAGTCTACAACACGTGTAAACCACAACCTTCCCTCAGTTCCTCAACCCTTCCCTCCCACAGCATTGGGGATTAGGAGCCCATGTTTCTGAAGTTGATGCATCAGGAGGGACAGTCGGGATCACATCCTTCTAAAATTTGGAGTTATGGATTTTATTGGTCTGGCAGTGCCTTGAGGGACCAGCACAGACACCTATATCAGTTCAGTCATCTTGCAGCAGTGGTTTCTACTGGTGGTGTCTACTGGAACATTAAAAAAGATAAAATTCTTTTTTGTCCCTCTTTCTGAGCCAGATATTTAAGGAAAAAATCTTTCTCAGGCTACCAACTGATTGCAGAAATAAGAACAGAAATTTGAGGGGCACCTGGGTGGCTCAGCAACTGAGTGTCTGCCTTCGGCTCAGTGCATGATCCCAGGGTCCGGGATCAAGTCCCGCATCAGGTTCCTTGTGGGGAACCTGCTTCTCCCTCTGCCTATGTCTCTGCGCTTCTCTGTGTCTCTCATAAATAAATAAATAAAATCTTAAAAAAAAAAAAAACAAACAGAAACTTGTGATCCCACACAAAAAGAAGTATACACTTTGCAAAATAGTTTGGAAATATCACAAAACCACAAATGGATGACTCTAGCATTCAACAAGCAAAAATCAGCAATCACTGAAGTGTAACAGATTTAAAGAATACCCATTATAGTAATAAGAATGTCCAAGTCTCAATAAAAAATTACACTGCACCCAAAGAAAGAGCAAAGTATGAATCATTCACAAGAAAAATAGGATTGGACAAAAACATCCTTGAGGAAGCCCAGAGAGTGGAATTACTACTCAAAGATGTTAAATTAACTGTCTCAAAAAACTAAAGGAAATTACAAAGAAATGGTGAGTGGGGAATGTATGAACAAAGTAAGAATATCAATAAGGAAAAAATATTATAAAAAGGAACCAAGCAAATTCTAGAGTTGAATACTAGCATAATTAAAATGAAAAAAAATTCACTAGTGCAGTTCAACATCAGATTACAGCAAGCAGAAGAAAAAAATCAGCAAATGGGAAGATAAGACCAATGAAATTATTCAGTCCTGAAAGAAAGAAAGAAAGAAAGAAAGAAAGAAAGAAAGAAAGAAAGAAAGAATAAAAATGAGCAGAGCCTAAGTAACCTGTAGGACATTCTTAAGTATACCAACACATGTACCATAAGAGTCCTAGAAGGAGAAAATAAAAACAGAGGAGCAGAAAAAAATATTTTAAGAAATATGGCTAAAAACTTCTCAAATATGATGAAAGGCATGAATACATATATATATCCAAGAAGCTCAGCAAACTTCAAGTAGATAAACTTTGAGACACATTATAGTCATATTGCTAAAACCCAAGGACAAAGAGAAAATTTTGAAAATGGCAAGAGAAGCAAATACGGCAAACAAGAGATCTTCAATAGGATTAACTGATTTCTCATCAGAAACCATGGGGACCAGAACTAGTGGGATAACATATTTAAAGTTCTAAAAGAAAAAAAATTAGCAACTAAAAATTGTATACGTGGCAAATCTCTTTCTCGAGAATGAAAGACAAATGAAGATATTTCCAGATAAACAAAAGTTGAAGGATTTCATTACCAATAGACCGGAACTGTAAGAAATGCTAAAGGGAGTTTTTCAGGCTTGAAACAAAAAGTAGCCAGAGAGAAACTCAAAGCCATGAGAAGAAATAAAGAACACCAGTAAAATTAATTAGATAGGTAAATGTCAAAGCCAGTATTATTGTATTTTTGGTTTGTAAAACTATTTTTTTCCCTATATGGCTTGAAAGGCAAATGTATAAAGCAATATTTATAAATTTATGTTAATGGACACACAATGTATAAACATGTAATCTCTGACAATAAGAATATAAAGAAGGGACAAAGATGTTTAGTAGTGTGATCTATATACTAATGAAACTAATTTGGTATTATTCAAAATAGGTTGCTGTATGTTTAAGATGTTACCTGTAATCCCTAAAGTTACTACTAATGGCTTTAAAATATACAGAAAAAGAAGGGAATCAAAATGGCCCTATAAAAATTATATTAAATACCAAAAAAGTGGTAATGGAGGAATTAATGAACAAAAACCATAAAAGACATATTGAAAACTAATAGCTAAATGGCAGGAATAAATCCTTCCTCACCAACAATTAGTTTAAATATAAGTCAATTAAACTCTCCACATGAGAGATATTGGCAGATTGAATGAAACACTGTCTATATGCTGTCTTCAAGAGACTTTTTTTTTAATTGAAATAGTCAATTAGTCAACAGACAACAATAGTCAAATAGACAACAAGAGACTCATTTTATATTTATTTCTAGAGGGGGGAAGAGAGTAGAGGATTTGGGGTAAAGGGAGAGAGAGAGAGGGAGAATCTTAAGCAGGCTCCATGCTCAGCATGAAGTCTAATGCAGGGTTCGATCTAACTACCCTGAGATCATGATCTACGCTGAAATCAGGAGTTGGATGTTTAACCAACTGAGCCACCCAGGCACCCCAAGCGACTCACTTTAGATAAAAAGATACAAAGAAGATGAAAATAAAAGAATGGAAAATTATATTGAAAGCACGTACTAACCAAAGAAGACCTGGAGTGATTACATTATTGTCAGGCAAAATAGTTATTAATACAAAACAGGTTACAAGACACAAAAAAGATTATATGTTGAAAAAAGTTAATCCAATAAGATATAATAACTATTATAAACATATATGCACCTAACAACAGAGCCCTAAAATATGTGAAACAAAATTAACAATATTGAAAAGAGAAATAGACAGTTCTACAATAATAACTGGAGACATCAGTGGCCTAGTCTCAATAATACATACAACAACCAGGCAGATCAAAAAGGAAAAGACTAAAACATTATAAACCAATTAGACCTAACAGGCATACAAGTACACCCCATCTAACAGTAAAAATATACATTCTCAAGGGCACATAGGACATCTTCCAGGATGAATTGTATGTTAACCCACAAAACAAGTCTTAATAACCTTAAAGAGACTGAAATCATGCAGTTTCTTTTTCAATCACAGTAAAATCAGAGTAGAAATCAGTAACACAAACTGGAAAATTCACCAATATGTGGAAATTAAAACAGTCTTAAATGATC